CAGTTAGAATGGGCCTAGTGCCCGAAAATATGCTCTCGAAAAGAGACTAGTAAAATTAAAACGTTGATACTGTACGATTTACGCATTGTCATGGGTTAGAACTTGTTACCAGGAGCTTTCTGTGGTTGCTTATTAGGAGTCTGAAGTCAGTTTTTCGAAATTCAAAATGGCGGATCAAAAATGGCGGTCCATTTTTTAAAAAAATGATTGGATTTGTTCGAAACCGGACCTCGAGAGTTTTGTGGTCGCCGATTACGAATCTGAAGTCAATTTTTTTAAATTCAAAATGGCGTATCCAATATGGCGATCAAATTAAAAAAAAGTACTAAAATTAAAACATTGATACTGAACGTTTTAAACATTGTCAAGGGTTAAAACACGTTTCCAGTGGGTTTCTGGGGTTGCTGATTACGAATCTGATGTCAGATTTTCAAAATTCAAAATGGCGGTTAAGAGTTTCAAATAAACTCAATCAGTTTTTTAAAGTTGGTCGCCATTTTGGATCCATCATTTTGAATTTTGAAAATCTGACATCAGATTCGTAATCAGCAACCCCAGAAACCCACTGGAAACGTGTTTTAACCCCTGAAAATATTTAAAACGTTCAGTATCAACGTTTTAATTTTACTAGTCTCTTTTCGAGAGCATATTTTCGGGAACTAGACCCATTCGAATTGTCCAAGACAAGTGTGTAATTAAGGGAAAGTTCCCCAATAATACCAGAGTAATTATATGTAATTTTAGCTGAATTTTAATTCAAATTAAAATAAAGAAATTGAGAACAACTGCGTTTTTATAAAAAACCGACCAGCGCGACCTCTAAGAAAACCTTTTTTTCAAAATAAAAAAATACGCGTCTCTCTTTTTATCACAAAGAACAATATTCTGATGTAGCGTTTATGAATTTCCAAAAAGATCGTTTTTATGAACCACTCTAACATACATATGTATTAAATATATGCATTGAAATTTGTTAATTTCCATTTCTTCGTGTAATAAAGGAAAACAAATATTTAGTTTAATGTTATCATATTAGTTAGTTTTTATTTAGAACAGGGGTTTTGGATGTACATATTCTAAAATGGAGACAAGAGCCACAATAAAGATGAAATAACGCCCGCGGGCTTTATTTCATTATTTAGGAAATGAAGCCCGCGGGCGTTATTGCCATATCGAAAGGGAAATAAATCCCACCGGCAAAAGGCAATAAAGCCCGTGGGCATTATTTCCTTTTTTTAGGCAAAATATTTTTTTTATTTTCACTTTTATTTCAACATATTGTAAGCATAAGCATGTATGCATATTGACTAACAAGTACGATGTGTAACTAGCCCTTAAGATATTTTGTAATTGTGTTTACACCTTAAGTTATGTGTCTAGACCTTAAGATTTGTTTGTTTTGTTAAGAGCGTGGGTAACCACCTTTTTGACATTGAATAAAGAAATCAGAATTAGAGTGACTGCCAACCAGACTAGACGTGTGAATTTATTGAAGGACCCAAACTAAGCGTTTTCATCAGAAGTGGTCGTCGAAGCCACTCCATCCTACATAGTTTTATTGAATAAAAAATTTGTTCGCGCTGATTAAAATGGGTGACGACGTCGTGAGTGCTGAGAGGTATACACTCCTCCAATTAAAGGCGTGGTGCGCAGCTGTTGGCGTGAACGCAAGCGGTGCAAAGGCGTCACTAGCGGCAAGGCTTAGTCAGCTAACAGCAGAAGCACGCGGATTGTGCCCAGGTAGCGGACCAGTTGACTTAACAGACGAATCCAATGACAACGCTGCCGAAAGAAGCGATGGAGAGTCTGACGATGAAGTGGTAAATGCGGCGGAAAACGTAGCGGACAATGCAGCGAAAAATGTGACGAAAAATGTAGCGGGAAATGTTGCGGTAAATTCAACGGACAATGCAGGGAAAAATGTAGCGGAAAATGTTGCGGTAAATTCAACAGTCAATGTAGCGGATAATGTTGCAGTAATTGCAGCAAACAATGTAGCGGTCAATGGAGCGGAAAAGGTAGCGGACAATGTAGCGGTCAACATAGCGAACGGTTCAGACAGCAATGCAAATTACAGCGTAGATGGTGAGTTTGGCGTACAAATTAACAGCGGGGCCAATGCCGAGTCAGAGAATCTCAAAGTGAAGTTGCTGGAGAAAGAAATCGAAATGTTGAGGCTGAAACTGGCAATAGAAGAGCAAAAAAATACGCTTACTGTAGCTAAAGAATTTCCCTTCGATACAATAAAGCAACTGGTGTCGGATTATGATGGTGGCGAAAATTTTGAGATGTGGCGTGCCCAAGTGGTGCACCTGCTAGAGGACCTGAAAGTAAACAAAGAAACGCTAGCTTTAGTAGTACAGATGAAGTTGAAAGGTGCGGCCGCAACGTGGTATAACACCAACAAGATGTTTTTAAGGAGTCTAGATGCCGTGCTTAAAGAGATGACTGCAATATTTGCACGTAGTGACAATCTTCTGGTTACGCGACGCCGTTTCGAAAAACGCAGCTGGAGTTATGAAGAGTCGTTTGCTAACTATTTCAATGAGAAGTGTTTGCTAAGCAGCGGTTTGAACCTGGTCGACACGGAGCTAGTCGAATATATAATCGACGGTATCCCAGATAAGCAGCTACAGGTCCAGGCGAAACTGCAAAATTTCCCAACAGCCAGGAGCTTAGTGAAGGCGTTTCGTACAATTGAGTTGCCGCAACGTTCATCTCCAAGGCCCAGCGAGGACAGAGTCAGGTGTTACAACTGCAACAGTTACGGCCATTTGTCGAGAGAGTGCAGAAAAGCAAAGCGCGAATTAGGTACCTGTTTTGCTTGCGGAGAAAAGGGCCACTACGCTTCAAGATGCAGTAAATACAAGAAGAGTCCACCGGCGAATAATTTCGTAAGTTATTTTAATATTAGTATATTAGCTGAACCTAACATTAATATGGTTGTAGAATGCCTAGTCGATTCCGGGAGCCCCATAAGCTTGATCAGGGAATGCTTAGTGCCGGGAAGAGTTAAATTGCAGGAAGAGAAATGTATTTACTATGGATTAAATATGTCTGAATTAAAAATTGTTGGTAAAACCAAGTGTAACATTGAAGTTCTTAATAAACACGTTTTGATTGAACTTATGGTGGTCCCTAATGAATCGGTTGGCTGTTCAGTTGTGTTAGGTAGAAATTTTATTACGGCTAGTAATGCTAAACTAAAAATTGGTTCGGTAGAATTTATGAATCAAAGTGAAAATACTGGTGTGGAAAATTATTGCGAAGGTCATGTTGAAAATGTAAAGGAAAATGATAACAACGTACACAAAGAAATAGATGCGGCTATAAGAGAGATTCTGACAATTGAGGTGCAGGACGCAAACAAAGTTGAGTATGTGATAGGACACAAAGTTAGTGCTAGTAATAAAAAACGTTTCGAAGATATGTTTTACAAAGAGTATATACAGGCAGTTAAACCAGAAGTGCCCGTGGTTAAAAAAGAGATTCGCCTAGTTTTAGAAAACAATAAACCATTTTACTGCGCGCCTAGAAGATTGTCATATAGTGAAAAAGCTGAGCTACAAAAGATACTAGACGAGTACTTAGAAAAAGGCTATATCCGTGCCAGCGACTCCGAGTTCGTTTCCCCAATAGTACTAGTGAAAAAGAAAACGGGCGAGCTCCGAATGTGTGTTGATTATAGGAAACTAAATAAAGTTACTGCGAAAGACAACTATCCTATACCGTTGATAGATGATTTGTTAGATAGATTAGCAAATATGAAATTGTTTACAAAGCTAGATCTTAAAAACGGATTTTTTCATGTGTACGTGGAGGAACAGTCCGTAAAATATACTGCGTTCACAACACCCCTAGGACAGTTTGAGTTTCTTAGAATGCCATTCGGTTTGAGAAATGCCCCAGCAACTTTCCAAAAGTTCATAAATAAAATTTTCGCGGACATGATACGTAGTGGCGAAGTTATTATATACCTAGATGATATTATGGTTGCAACGAAAACCTTGGACGAGCACATTCGTGTTCTAGAGAAAGTTTTTCAACGTTTAGGGCAGAACAAGTTAGAGTTACGGCTGGATAAGTGTGAGTTCCTTCAATCAGAAATTTCATATCTGGGTTATTTGATTACTGGTGAAGGCATTAGAGCTGACAAGAAAGGAGTTCAAGCTGTAGAAAATTTTGCAGTGCCAACAAAGGTGCAGGAAGTACATAGTTTTTTAGGGCTCTGTTCGTACTTCCGCAGATTTATAAAAGACTTCTCGATAATAGCAAAACCGCTCTATGACCTATTAAAAAAAGAAGAAAAATTTACGTGGGTTTTGGGGCAATATTATTTCAGAGGAAAAAGGATAAAAAGCTGCACCCTATTTTTTATTTCTCAAAACGCACGACTAACGTAGAGTCCAAGTATCACAGCTTTGAATTAGAGACGTTGGCAATAATCTATGCGTTGAAAAGATTTAGAGTTTACCTACAGGGTATCAAGTTCAAAGTTATTACCGATTGTAACTCTTTGACATTAACGCTTAACAAAAAAGACATTAACCCACGCATTGCAAGGTGGGCAATGGAACTTCAAAACTACGACTACGAACTAGAACATAGGACGGGTAAAAAGATGCAGCACGTCGACGCGCTTAGTAGAGTAAACAATATACTGACTATCCATTCAAATACGTTTGAGGAGAACTTAATCATATGCCAAAACCGAGATGAAAATATAAAGCATGTTAGGAAACAATTAGAAACGGCTGAGAATAAGCACTTTGAGATGAGAAACGGTATAGTTTACAGAAAGAATAACGATAACTTATATTTCTATGTACCAGAATCGATGGAAAAACACGTCTTATACAAATATCATGACGAGATGGGTCATGTCGGGGTTGACAAGGTCGTAGAAACAATAAAGAAAAGTTACTGGTTCCCAAGCATTAGGAAAAAAGCAGTTGTTCACGTTGAAAACTGCTTGAAGTGTATAGCGTTCTCTACGAAACACGGGAAAAAAGAGGGACACCTTAATATGATTCCAAAAGGAAATAAGCCGTTTGAAATGGTACATGTCGACCACTATGGTCCCATTCACAGTAGTAGTACGAAATATAAACACATTCTAGTAGTAATAGATGGGTGTACGAAGTTTGTCCGGCTATATCCAGCAAAAACTACAGCATCAAGAGAAGCAATAGCATCATTGGAAGATTATTTTCGAGCGTACAGTAGGCCAAGATGTATAGTGTCTGATAGGGAAACTTGCTTCACGTCCAATGATTTCGAAAATTTCTTAGAGGCAAATAATGTGCAACACATAAAGATCGCAACAAACTCTCCTCAGGCGAATGGACAAGCCGAAATTGTAAATAGGAGCCTAGGACCGATGATAGCAAAAATAGTTAACTCAGAAATTAATGTCAGTTGGCAAAATGGATTGGAAGAGGTAGAGTATGCAATGAATAACCCAGCACATAAAGCGATTAACGAACATCCCAGCATAATGCTGTTTGGGGTTAGGCAAAAGGGGAAGGAATTAGATACGTTAAAAGAAAATGTATTAGAACCAATGCAGGAGCCTGACCCCAGATCCATTAGGGACATTAGGCAACAAGCCGAGATAGTGCAACAAAAAGCCCAAAAGTATAACAAGGAGTACGCAGATGCTAAACGGCTACATCCGCGTAAGTTTAAAATAGGAGATTATGTGGTTATAACAAATTCCAGTTCTCAAGTAGGATCTTCAAGTAAGTTAGTACCGAAGTTTAGAGGGCCATACAAAGTAATGAAAATCTTAGAAAATGATCGCTACTTAGTAGAAGATGTTGAGGGCTTCCAACAAACACAGATACCGTATAAGGGCACCTGGTCAGTTACAAATTTAAAACCTTGGTTCCATTGTGAAACTAGAAGTATGAAAGGATGTAACAGATAGTGCTCTAAATATGTAAACGGCGTAGAATCAGGAGATTCTAGTCGTCAGGATGGCCGAGCTGTAAGCATAAGCATGTATGCATATTGACTAACAAGTACGATGTGTAACTAGCCCTTAAGATATTTTGTAATTGCGTTTACACCTTAAGTTATGTGTCTAGACCTTAAGATTTGTTTGTTTTGTTAAGAGCGTGGGTAACCACCATTTTGACATTGAATAAAGAAATCAGAATTAGAGAGACTGCCAACCAGACTTGACGTGTGAATTTATTGAAGGACCCAAACTAAGCGTTTTCAATATTTTGATTAAAAGAAAAATACTGATAAAAATAAAATATTTCACACAAACAACAAAAAATATAATCGATAATCGCATGAGGCTGTTGCCTGAAAATTTTAAAATGCACTTAGTGGCATTGTGCTACTATGATAGACGGCCGAGTAATCATAGTCAACTTATGTATGTAGAGTAGACTGCATCACTCCCCATACAAAAAAAAAAGCGGCACTGTTTTTCCACTGAAATTATAAAATCTAATATATTTTAAGACTTTCACCAAAATATCTGGCAAAAATATTAAGATTTACGTGAGCTGGACCGATTTGAAAATACCTCAAAAAATTTAGTTCTTTATTAATAAAAACAGTTTTTTTTTTTAATATGACTGAACAGTTTAAGCTTAAAAAGTTTTCATAATAATATTAAAAACAAATGTCTACGGAATCGTAAAAATGAGATTTTTGATGCTGTTTTGAACTTTTTTCAAAGAGTAGTTTAGGAAAAACTTGAATAATTCAGCCAAAACCTTACCAATTTAGACTTATGAGGTATCATTGGTAAAACATTTTCTCACCCTTTTTATTTATTTGCAAATAAACTCATTCAAAGTATGAAACAGGAAGGTAAGATAAACGAGTGTCATTCCATGTTGAATTAAGATGTGTTGGTATTGAATAAGGAAAAAATTGGGACTTGAATGAGTTTTTTTTGCAAAGAAATAAAAAGCGTGAGAATATACTTTTCCACTGATTAAGTTTTTCTTACACAAATCTTTGAACAAAGTTAAAAAGCAGTATCAAAAATCTCGTAATTATGATTCCGTTGATACAATTTTTTAATATTTTTATGTAGGTTTTGTAAGCGTAAATTGTTTTGTCATCTGAAGGGATTTTTTTACAAAAAACCATTTAAGAAACTATTCATAAAAAATCCATTTTTAGAGGTATTTTCAAACTGGTCCAGCTCACGTAAATCTTAATATTTTTCCGAAATATATTGGTAGAAGTCTTAAAATATACTAGGTTTGGTAATCCCGCCGGAAAAACCGCAACTTTTTTTGGTGATGCTGTCTAATGTACAGTAGTCGAAAAAATTATAGCCGCACCAAATTTTCACAAGTTTTAAAATATTATTTTTGTTGCTATTTAATTTTGGTTAATTTTTTATAGTTCATTCTTTAACAACATTCGTATAAATAAAAGTTTAAAGGCAGTGTCACACGATTGGGTATTTGCCAAAATTTGGTGCATATCGTATCCCAAATATTTTTCGTTATCCCAATTACGAAAATTAATTTGTTGCAATTTTTCTATAGAACATCGCTGTACTGTGGCAATCTTTTGACTAAAAAAAATGTTCCAATTTTTTTATTTTGTACCAATAGCCCAATATAAAAATGTACCAATCTGTAAAAATGTACCAAATGTGCCACTGCCTTAAAAATTTATGCAATTAAAAAAAATTCAACAAATTTTCGTAAAAATTTCGAGTTTTTTAATTAGATTCTGAGTATGCAGTTTTGTAGCCCATTGAA